GTTTCGAACAGAATCAACAACAACACCATTCAACTCATATCGAATTTCTCGGAACAAAAAGCTAAATGCGTTATTGACAAATTTAAAGTTTTCAGATGGAGACTATCAGCTTTAGTGAGTGTTCCTTCAAGGTAAAGATAGCTTTGGGACGGTAAAGTAAAGGTATCCAGTTCTTGAATAGCAATTCTAATTTCATCATTATAATCAACATTAGCATTAACCCTTAAGTACTGACCCGTTGTCGCTCAGACTACGGCCAATTTTCAAAGGGAAATATTTTATATAATTTTTTTTTCAATTATTTGAATTTACCGCTGTATCTAGTCTCAATCCGGACCGTACCTAATCGCCTCAGAAAATTATTGCGAAATTACGCGAAAGTATCCGACATTATTGTATATTGAAAGGCGGGCGTCGTCTAGTAGACTACGCGTCAGTAACAACGTTATTGTATCTATGAGCGGTTCGTGTTTTGTACACAACAAATATGAGCGGGAATCCATCTTGTTCGCGTACGATATACATCTTTAGATCCAAAGTTTGAAGAAACGGCAATGAAATGGTTCGAAGAATGTGACAGTGACAATAGTTATAGTGAAAGCGATTGCGTATCTGAGTTTATAGAAGAGCAAGAGGATCATAGATCATCTGATACCTCAGATAGTTCTGGCAGTGATGATCATTCAGTGCAAAATGCTGATACGGATACGGATTCCAGCAAGTTTTATTATGGAAAAAACCGCTATCGTTGGTCGAAAGTTGAAGCATTACCTACCCGTGGGAGGGTTCTGAAGCATAATATAGTTTTACAACTTCCTGGTCTAAAAAGTCAAGCTCTGACTCTGGGCAAAAAAGCTGATCCTCTAGTAATATGGCACTTACTTTTCACACCTGACATGTTAGATATAGTGGTTCAGTGGACAAATGTAAAAATAAGTGGTTACCGTCAAAAATTCAAGCGTCAGAACAGAAGTGAAATTAGTGACACAGATGTAACTGAACTTCGAGCATTTCTAGGGATATTGATATACAGCGCAATATTCAAGTCAAATCATGAAAATATACGCACTATTTTTGCCACTGATGGTACCGGAAGAGACATTTTTCGAGCTGTGATGAGTAAGGATAGATTTGCTGTGCTTTTGGCTTGTTTACGTTTTGACAATCCAGACACCCGCAAAGAAAGAAAAAAAGAGGATCCCACTGCTCCGATTTCAGAACTTTTTGAACAATTTATTCATAACTGTCAAAGTGTTTATACAATCGGTTCCTCGGCGTGCATCGATGAAATGTTGGTGAGTTTTTGTGGACGATGTAGTTTTAGAATTTACATGCCTAACAAGCCAGACAAGTATGGCATCAAATTGTTGTACTTAGTAGATGCAAGAAATGGCTATTTATATAATAGTTATATATATTGCGGTAAAAAATCAGATGGAATAGGACTATCAGAAGAGGAAAGAAAATTATCCATTCCAACGCAATCCGTACTTAGGCTTTCACATCCGTTGTTTCATACTAATCGTAACATAACAGCTGATAATTGGTTTTCTTCAATTCAGTTGGTTGAAACTCCAAAACAAAATGGTCTGACATACGTAGGAACTTTGAAGAAGAACAAACGGGAAATCCCATGTGAATTTCAACCCAATAGAAAAAGGGAAGTGGGGACTACTTTGTATGGTTTTACAAAAGAAATGACCATGATATCCTTCTGCGGAAAGAAAGGAAAGTCGACCATTCTGCTTTCCTCTATGCACCACCAAAAAGAGACTGACCTTACTATAGGAAAACCTGAAATAGTATCCTTTTATAACCGAAATAAGGGTGGTGTCGACACTTTAGACGAAAAATGTTCCAAGTGCACATCAAGTCGTCGTACACAAAGATGGCCCATGGCAATATTCTTCAGGATATTAGATGTTGCATGCACGAATGCGTATATACTTCACCAGTCCTATAGAGATAACCCGAATATCTCACAGAAATATATATTTCTGAAAGAGCTAGCAATGAAAATGGTTGCACCTCAACTTTAAAGGAGAGAGTCAAATCCCTGTATAACACGGGAACTAAAATGTTGTATTCGTCGCATTTTGCAAAAGGAAGAAACAGAAGTATTGAATACTGATGATGAAATTCTGGAAAAAAGAAAAATTTGCAGCATATGCCCTAGCAAAAAAAGGAGAATGACCAAATACCAATGTTCAGCCTGCAAAAATGCAATATGCCTACAATGCGCAAAAAAAGTGTGTATTCGTTGTATTGAAAACTTTTAAAATTTAACCCTTAAATCATAGTTATGTTGCAATATTCCTGGAATATGTTTTTATGTACTTTTCTCTTTATAAAAAGTTGAAATATTAGTTTGTGAATATGGTTTTTTTTGATATAATAATTTTCTGTTTATATACTTTTTCTAATTAGTAAAAAATTAAAAGTTTGTTTTCGAAATTTAAACAGTAATAAAAATTGATTTTTAGAAAAATGAAGGATTATTAATATTGATTATCAACTTATTTTAGTAATATATATCTTTAAACATGCAAAATTTAACACAAACCTGATTTTTTTTAATATCTTGCAATGATTTTACTAGGGTAGTCTGATAGACGACTCGTCAGTATCTATGTCCAAATAACGGAGCGTCAGTACTTAAGGATTAATGTACCGTTGATAGGTGGGATACTCCATTTCAGTAATGGAGGTGTCAAGTAATGGCTGTTCTGTCACGTTCAAAATGCTCATGTTAGATCAATTGAAATCCCAACGACTTTAAAAACTGACGATTATCAATCGTTAGACGACGTCTATAATTTGGGCGAGGTGACGGTACGTTGGTTGGTGGAGTACTAACAGTAAAAACTCTGCGAATCTTGTTTTTATAGGTTCGATTGGAAAGCACCGAATGTGGAATACTATATCTAATACCCATTACGTATTTTGCGCAAGTGTAAACGTATGGTAATGGTTTCGTTTATAAAGTTTACAAGATCGTTGTTTTGATCAAGTACTTTAACAGTCAAGGTGTTGATCGTACTCACAGGAAAATAAATTATGTTTTGCGGTGCTTCCACTATTTTATACCCAGCCGGAACAGTTGGGAAACATTTATGGATGATGTGACTGGGTTGTCCATTTCTGAAAGATCCTGCAGCTATGCTACACTCGATACAGAGTGCATTTACTTTTAGTATTTCTATTGCGAAGTCGGACTCATGTAGTATATTTTTTTGCAAAATTCGGGGTTCAAAGCCCAACATGCGACCAATAGTATTTTTTGAAGAAAAATCGATGTCACAATTGGCTTGTAAAGTAACTGTGGATGTAGTTTTGTTGGCAGTAAGACTAATTTGCAGTCCTGATGGAAGTTTTTGTTGTAAGGCGGTAGCCAACTCTGAAATTTCATAGCAACCGATAGGAAGTTTAAACGATTGGGGATCACTGGCAATTGAAGATGTAGAATATACAAAAGTATTGTTGGAAGCATCAATATTAGGTATCACATTGAAGGATTCAAAATCACACAACCCAATTTCATACGCATCATCATCTGAAAGATAGATTGGAGGATTAAAGTCAGCTTGAAGCGTAGAAGAATTGTCAGAAAGGGTAAATGTCATCGACATGATGTATGCGTTGAAATTTAGACGATAATATTCATTGATTGAACCTTGCACTAGCTTTATATAGGAAACGCAAACCCAGCTGACCACAATTATGTGAGTTGAATGATTGAATGGACTCATAATTGTATTCAATATCAGAGACATCATGATTGCTGCGAAAATAATGCACAGCTTCTCTAGGGGGACGTAAATTACCATATGAATCAAAGTATGTGACATGATTGTTGTTTTTTACATATGCAGTAAAGTGGGATCCAACACCTGATGCATTATCTAAATTAATAATACCGCATTCTTTAGCTCTAATTCGATGTGGTAAATCATCTCTCATAAAAACTCACCTAAATTTTGGAATTATCAGTTGTTTAGCCAAGTGAAGTAACTCTATATTAGTAAAAGCATGACGAGGGAGTTTTTTTAGCAGTTTTTTTATAAGGTGCCAAATATAACCCTTTTCCTTGTTTAGATTATTCTAACGCTAAGTTGTGACGTTTTTGTTCAGCCAGCTGAGCCTGATTGGTTTTCGCATCCGAGACTGCTTTGGCAATTGACGCCGCTCCACCTCCAAGTGCACCTAGCGCACCAAGTAGGGGAAGGAGGATAGGTAAAAATCCCCCTTTTTTAGGTATCGGTAAAAGTCTCGACTTTTTTGTGATGCGTCGTTTTTTACGGAAACCTTGTCCGCTTATTACTTTTTTTCGCAATCCTAAAATGCGTTGTGACTTGCGAATACGAGAAGAAAACTTTTTTCGACTCATGCCACTCCCCAATTTCTGCTTCATCTTCATGACCGCTGAGACACCCAGTGCAGCTACTTTTTCACCAAGCGATGAATCCGATGCAGCAACCCGCTTGAGGGCGTGATCAATTAAGAGGTTATCGGCTTTACGACGAATGTCACTTTGTTTGGAGGTAGCGTAAACCAGATCATGCTGCTTACGTCTAAGCGATTAATTCCGGTATCACCTCTCTCAATGCGTTGCTTTAAATTTGTTCCAGGTCCACAGAAATTATATCTCGGGATGTGCCATTCAAGTAGTAGTTTATCGATAAGTTTATTTATGAAACACATACCACGCACTGTAACGGTCGGTTTGTGACTGTTTCTCCTCGCACGGAATGCAGTCATTTTATATGGTTCCAGCAAGTAACGGTTCTCAGATATATAGTAGACTGTGCTAGAAGTATTGATGTCAGTACAATTTATAGGCTATCAGAATGAAGATCGAACCATCAGCCGTACAAGTTCCTGTGACGAATTTTGATGGACTTGCACAGGAAGGTGCGCTTAGGAAACACGGTAACCTATTCAATGGTACGTCTAAACACGCGTTAGTTGTAGGCCCAAGCGGATCTGGTAAAACTAAAGTAATGATCAGTTTGTTAACACATCCTGATGGATTGAGATTTGAGAACGTTTATCTGTACTGCAAGTCGCTGTACCAACCCAAGTACAAATATTTACGAGAACTACTAACACCGCTTCGCGAAATAGGGTATTATGAATACAGTGAAGATGCAAACATTGCGAGACCAGAAAACATTAAACCAAACTCCGTAATAATTTTTGACGACGTTTCATCATGTAATCAGAATATAATAAGACAATATTTCAGTTTTGGACGACATCGTAATACAGACTGTTTCTATCTTTGTCAAACGTATACTGCCGCACCCAAACATAATTTAAAGGATAACATAAACCTACTCATACTATTTCCTCAAGACAATTTGAATCTGAAACATATCTATGATGATCATATCAGCCTAGACATGTCATTCAACGAATTTAAAAGGTTGTGCAGTTTGTGTTGGCAAGAGCCACATAGCTTTGTAGTGGTTGATAAAGATTCTCCAAGACAGGGAGGCAGGTATAGAAAGTGTTTTAGCAGCAACATAAATTTGTAACTTGTTGTAACTATACTCTGTGCAAATCTTAGGGTAGTACTTATATAACATCGAAGGTAGACAGATGGATCCAAAACTGGCCAAAGAACTAGTCAAAACCAGGAAAGCGGTTAAACAAAAGTATCTCACAGTTAAATCAGATATTGCAGCAACGGAAAGGGAATTACAGCAACAGTTTAAGCCGATCTCAGAACCGTTGCAAAAACTCTTATCAAAAGTTGAAGCACCTAAACAAGAATTGCAGATCAAAGAAGAACAATCTACACCCCCATCAGTGACATCCACACCGAAGAAACGACAATCATTCAATAAACAATTGTCAGAAAATTTATACCAACGATATTTACCACCTGTCAACTACAGTTTTCTCGAGGATACATATTCAAACCTTCCGGAGCCAAACCGCAGTCAAGATGTATCTACCGTTAAAGAATTTACTCCAAATACTACGGTGTTGGAGGCAGAAAACCAAGCAAATCAATGAAAGCGTGGCTCGAGTGGCGCAAGAATTCCACCAACTAATTGATACACCTGCATATCAAGAGTATCTTGAAGGTTTTCACCCTGTACCTCGAAATATGTTGATGAGTCAATTCGTGGGAACGAGCGCGAGTTTGATCGTTATTATGGATTAACATATGATATTGTTTCTGACAAGTTTCAAATCGGTAAAAGTCCGGTTACGCTAGACGGCGCAAATATCGTGGTGGAAAATGTAACATATCCTGGAACACCTGGATTGTATGAACTGCTTTTCAAAAAAGAACCAATTGGTTATAAGCAGAGTGATCTAGATCAGTATATGGATATTCTAAGTCGCACAAATGCATATCGCAGAAATTTTGAACCTAATACTCAAATACAGTAGCACGTCCTACAAATATCGAAATATAATTCGACCATACTTACATCAGCATAACATTCTAAAGCAGCAGGGCATACTCAGATCCGGCTCCTTTGAGAAACCTCCACCTCCTAAGAGTCAGTTACGACGAAGACACTCATTCAAACATACAGGTCAAGGAATGCTCCACTTATCAAATAAACCAATCGACTACATCTATTTTGATGATCCAAATGAATTGGTTGCTCGTTTACGTCTGTTGTTAGCTTCACAGTATGCTGGTAATAATGGACATCGTAACGAGATTATGTCTATAATTGAGGAGTTACGTGAATTAAAAATTATAAAATGAATTTGTAACGTAATATTATTTTATTTACATTGCTGCAGTTGTAGGATCAAGATGCCGATTGATAAATTTGGAAGACATATGCTCCGCTCAAAGAAGACGGACACTGCTGCGATCTTCAGTACTTTTCTAAGATCCAACCTATCCAGCGTATGTGTGGTACCCATTTATTCCTCCACATCCAGCGAGCAGTTTTACACATTTAACGACAATAGCAAGGACTATATCGTTCCTGTGACTGAGATAGTTGATAGTATAAATGTTCCGCCAAAAGTAAGAGTGACAATTGGTTTAAATAGTCTCACCGACAACACACCTATCACGAAAGGTGATATTCTCCATTTCTTCACATCTAAAGAACCCAGACCAGAGCAGCTTATAGCAAATATTGTAATGCGCTGTCCATTGATACAACAATGAGCGACTTGAGAAATCAGGTTGTTGAAGAACTTCATAAACCAGCTCGCCGAAATTATAGACGTCGCACTAAGGAACATTTAAGCTTGAAAACCGGTCAAAAATCTTTTATACGTTCTTTGTCATTAAAAATGAATAAAAATGCATGTGTAGTTAAAAAAAAGGAATATATTCATTAAAATTAGTAAAAAAGGCAAAAATATTAAAAATTATTTCTATTCAGTTTTGGACTTTATGTATAGTCTTAAAAAAGACTAGTCCTATTCATTCCTATTCAGCATCAGTTTGCACTTCTTCGTCACTTGTTACATTTAGATCTTCCGCTTCTAAAAGGGCGAGCGTTTCCGTTGAGAACCGTTGTCTTTTTACTTGGTCCTTTTTCGCACGCAACTTAGAAAAGGGTCCGATGTGAGTAATAGTCTGTTTAAAACATCTTGGTTGCACTGCGTTCTGGAAAATTTCCTGCCAAAATCTGTTCTATAAGATCGATAATGCTTGTTGCGGGCGTCTGCAGCCTCCTCCGACAATTGCCCGATAGGCAAGATGGCATGTTTTATGACTGTAGAGCCATGCGCAAGAATTTTGTGTAAGGTTGGTGTCATTGGGTGCTATCCGTAGAGGTTGATATACAGGTGTGCAGTTTCTTCACAGTATTGCTCAAATTTTTGAATGTTTATTTTGTATCCAGAAGATATTGTTTCTAAAATAGTCTTGACTTTTTTTATGAATTCTATGTCAATACCGGTTATTTCTGCAGCCAGGTCTGGGTCACTAAAAAACCTTCTTGAAGTGTTCCCCGAGTTGGAGTTTCCATAACCGGCTTTTGGCATGTCTATAATCAAACCAGTTTTTTCCCTATATTCCTTCTGGATTCTGTTTTTGTTTTCTTTTACGACTTTTTTTTCTTCATCTGTACGTACGAGCCTGCCATTTCTGTAGAGGAAGTTTGTAAGATACGTGTAAAATAGTTTCGAATAAACGTATTCTCGCATGTAGAGGGGACAAGCCGAATCGTAATGATTCGGGATCTTCAGCACTTTTATTTTTTAAATTGTTGAAGTCTTTGGATGTTTTGCCACATATGTAGCAACGCATAGTAGATGTTGTGCCGGTTACCGCATGGCACACTTTAGCATCTAGCATTGTGGGAATTAAGGTATGTCGCACATCAATGTCTCCCTTTGAATATAAGTTTGTTATTTTCGTCACAACCAGTTCTTTAGCTTGATCCTCGACGTATTTTATTTCCTGTTTTGTTACATCCACGGTTTCGTGTAAAAACTGAATACGTATGGGCCGGCAGAAACGCGTGGATGAGGGTGTAGGATTTTGCCATAAAATTTTGATTACCTGTTCTTTGTGGTATTGCAGCCTCAGTGGAACCAAAGAACTTTGGAATAGATTGGCATCGTCGCGTGAGCTGTTGGTAAACTTCTGTTGAAACTGTTTCTGTTGCGAGCCATCACATCCCCATTTTATTATGAGTTCTAAATTCTTTAATTCCGACTCAGCCAAATGTTCGAGCACTTCTTTTAGAAAAAGACAGAGTCTTGTAGCAGTGTGGTCGACTAGATCCTGAAGTATAACTTCGGCACCCGTTTCAGTAACTCGCATTGACTCTTCTTTCGGATAACAAACTTTTTTTGCCTCTCTAATAAGAGTGTAACAAGGAAAGACGCCTTTATTTGATTCATGTAGTAGCTCCCACTGACTCCTAGTAAAATCGCCTTCAACAAATATCGATAATGCCTCTTCGGGTGTGTACTTCTTGATTTTTGTATTTCGAGCCATTTCTAAGGTTTTTTTATACGTTTTTGCTCTTGTTGGCGTACAAGTAACATCTCTTATAATTTTAGATGCTGAAGCATTTCCTGACATCCGCTGACTAACGCATATGTTAGCTCCTCGAGAGAAACTTGTTCCCGAAGTTCCTTTGTTTTACGCCGTTTGCTTCGATCTGACAAATCCTGAAAGTCCTTATTTGGCCGACCTGGCTTAGTAGGAGTACGTGTCCAATTATGTACTGATATTGAAACTTCAAGCCATTCGTCGTTATTTTTAGTGAATCGTTCCTCAATATAGAATGCCGACTTCCATCTCTTCTTTAGTTCTGATTTGAAATGCCTCAAGTCGTAACTTATAGTTTGGAATTCCTCTTGTGGACATTTTGTTAATTCCCGAACTTTATTTTCCATCTAATTTTCGCGCTGAACTCTCTTTAAAAATGTCAAATAGAGATTTCCTTGTCAATTGAATTACATTAGATGGTGCATCTGTAACAAATTAGAAAAAAAATTACATTAACTACAGCTTTCTCGAGGATACATATTCAAACCTTCCGGAGCCAAATCGCAGTCAAGATGTATCTACCGTTGAAGAATTTACTCCAAATGCTACGGTATTGGAGGCACAAAACCAGTAAATCAATGAAAGCGTGGCTCGAGTGGCGCAAGAATTCCATCAACTAATTGATACACCTGCATATCAAGAGTATCTTGAAGGTTTTCACCCTGTACCTCGAAATATGTTGATGAGTCAATTCGTGGGAACGAGCACGAGTTTGATCGTTATTATGGATTAACACATGATATTGTTTCTGACAAGTTTCAACTCGGTAAAAGTCCGGTTACGCTAGACGAAGCAAATATCGTAGTGGAAAATGTAACATATCCTGGCACACCTGGATTATATGAACTGCTTTTCAAAAAAGAACCAATTGGTTATAAGCAGAGTGATCTAGATCACTATATGGATATTCTAAGTCGCACAAATGCATATCGCAAAAATGTTGAACCTAATACTCAAATACAGTAGTACGTCCTACAAATATCGAAATATAATTCGACCATACTTACATCAGCATAACATTCTAAAGCAGCAGGGCATACTCAGATCCGGCTCCTTTGAGAAACCTCCACCTCCTAAGAGTCAGTTACGACGAACACACTCATTCAAACATACAGGTCAAGGAATGCTCCACTTATCAAATAAACCAATCGACTACATCTATTTTGACGATCCAAATGAATTGGTTGCTCGTTTACATCTGTTGTTAGCTTCACAGTATGCTGGTAATAATGGACATCGTAACGAGATTATGTCTATAATTGAGGAGTTACGTGAATTAAAAATTATAAAATGAATGTGTAACGTAATATTACTTTATTTACATTGCTGCAGTTGTAGGATCAAGATGCCGATTGATAAATTTGGAAGATATATGCTCCGCTCAAAGAAGACGGACACTGCTGCAATCTTCAGTACTTTTCTAAGATCCGACCTATCCAGCGTATGTGTGGTACCCATTTATTCCTCCATATCCAGCGAGCAGTTTTACACATTTAACGACAATAGCAAGGACTGTATCGTTCGTGTGACTGGGATAGTTGATAGTATAAATGTTCCGCCAAAAGTAAGAGTGACAATTGGTTTAAATAGTCTCACCGACAACACACCTCTCACGAAAGGTGATATTCTCCATTTCTTCACATCTAAAGAACCCAGACCAGAGCAGCTTATAGCAAATATTGTAATGCGCTGTCCATTGATACAACAATGATCGACTTTAGAAAGCAGGTTGTTGAAGAACTTCATAAACCAGCTCGCCGAAATTATAGACGTCGGCGTCGGCGCGTTATTGTGAAGGGGGTCAACGATCTCTTGCAGGCAGATTTGGTGGAAATGATTCCGTATCAGAAAGTGAACAAAGGTTTCCGATATATTTTAATTGTCATCAACGTTTTTAGTAAATTTGTGTGGGCAGAACCAGTCAAACGAAAAACCGGAAAAGATGTTACAACTGCAATGAGGGCGATTCTGTCGCACATGAAGTCAATTCCAAAAAATTTACAAACAGACTTGGGTAAAGAATACTACAATAGTGATTTTACGAAGTTGATGGAAGAGTACAAAATTAATCATTACAGCACGTACTCATCGAACAAAGCAAGTGTGGTTGAAAGGGTGAATCGGACTTTAAAGAATCGGATGTGGAAGCAGTTCAGCCTTCAGGGATCATACAAATGGCTAGATATCCTATCGTCAGTCGTTGACGGGTATAATAACACCAAACACAGTACAATTGGAATCAAACCCAAAGTGTAAACAAACGTACAGAAAAAACATCATTGAATACGGTTTATACACATTTGAAAACGGTAGATCCAAAGGGTGTAAAATATCAAACCGGAGATCATGTCCGCATAAGCAAACATAGAACAACATTTGCTAAAGGATACACTCCTAATTGGACCAATGAAATTTTTACAATTCGTAAAGTACAGTATACCAATCCTACATCATACTTATTGGCAGATTGGCATGGTGACGAGATACTAGGTGGATTTTATGCTGAAGAGCTTCAAAAAGTCAAGTATCCAAACATCTATGTTGTGAAGAAAGTGGTTTGACGAAAAGGCAGTAAAGTGCTAGTCAAGTAAGTACTTAGGACTGGATAGCAGCTATAATTCGTGGATTAACAAAAGTGATTTACTTGGATGATAAATGTTCCTCTATTTTCTCTAATGATTTCTATAGCAAACTTTTTTCAATAAAACACTCTACGTAATATATGATTTTTATTACAAATATACTGAGAATAGTTAGGATAAGTAATTTGAATAAAAGTTCAGTGTTGGAGCCTTGTTGAATTCCTTCAAGTTTGGATATTGGTATGCCAGATCCATAGCAGTCCTGATGTTCTCCGAATGCGGCAAATCAGAGATGTGTTGCATCATGAAGTCTCACACATCTATGTGCTTGGTTTGTACATCCTGGACGAGTGTGGTAAAACATTTTTGGAACTCCTGAGTTTTCAACATATTCATCGTATAGGCAATCAGCGGGGCTAATTGAAATAACTTCAATACGGTCTCTTTACCCAAATAAACTACGTTACTCTATCGATCTTCAATTTTGATGGTTTGAAAATCTGGAAATCTAGCAAAGCTGATACAGAAGGAGTTACCTTGGATCGGATGGAAAATGTCATCACTGAAGAAAAA